ATGGCCATGCTTAAGAAGCTGAATGTCCAAGTGCCCTTCCTGGAGGCACTATCGCAAATGCCTAAGTATGCGAAGTTTCTGAAAGAGCTTCTCTCGAAGAAGCAGAAGCTGAGTGAGCTGGCCACTGTGGAGCTCAGCGAGGAGTGCTCGGCTATTCTGCAGAACAAGCTTCCGCAGAAGAAGAAGGACCCAGGTAGTTTTACTATCCCATGCTCTATTGATAAGTTGCATGTAGAGAGGTCCTTGGCGGATTTAGGTGCTAGTATCAATGTTATGCCGTATAAATTGTTCAAGAAACTAGGCCTAGGTGAACCCCGCGCTACTAGGATGACCCTTCAATTAGCTGACAGATCTGTAGTGCATCCTAGGGGCATAGTGGAAGACCTTCTGGTTAAGGTTGGCAAATTCAATTATCATGTGGATTTTGTTGTCCTGGACATCAATGAGGACACAGAAGTGCCCCTTATACTGGGAAGGCCTTTCCTGGCCACCGCCAAGGCTCTCATAGATGTGCATGATGGGACCTTAGTTTTGAGGGATGGCGAGGAGTGAATAACGTTGTCAATTGCTAATACTTTACCTGCTTCGTCACCTCTGCATGCTGTATCTCACCGGGAGCACGAGTCTGTCGTGTATCCTTCTGTGTTGCCTATTTTGCAGGACCCGCCTCCCACACCTTCGCCGCCACTCCTGACCACTCCATCACCAAAAGTACAGATCAAGGAGGAGTGGCGGCCGAAACTGGAGGCAGTTAAGCCTGCTCGAAAGAGAGCCGGAGACCACTGTGAGCTGGTCCCGCCCCCACCTTGGCCATCCGAGTATTCACTCGCTTGCATCTTGCCGGATGGCCAAGTCGAGCTGGCGAATGCTGGTGGCCACATTCGTCGCATGCATGGCCACCATTTGAAGATGTACCTCAAGAGCGATGTGGATCCGCTCTTGAAGGCACCTGATCCTACACTTCCCTAAGCATCCATACTGGCGTCCAGCTAAAAGACGGTAAAGAAGCGCTTGTGGGGAGGCAACCCCACCGAGGTTTGCATTTTCTTACTTTTTTTTCTTTTGGTTTTTGTGTTTTTTGAGTCTTGAGATGTTGTTCCAGAGTCGAATGTCGTTTTTTGGTGAAAACAGGTTGATTTTGGGGCTCCAGCAGCTCACACGGCCAGGCCATTTGCTCGCACGGCCGTGTGGATTTTATCCCCTGGCCGTGTGAGCCCTCAGCAATTTTCGCACGGCCAAAAGTGCAAATTTGCACGGCCGTGTGGATTGTCCTGGCCTGGCCGTGTGGCCGACACGGGCAACGCATATTCTCGCACGGCCGTGTGGATTTTATCCCCTGGCCATGCGAGCTCTCGGCAAAATCCACACGGCCAAATGTGCACTTCGCACGGCCGTGTGGAATTCCTCGGCCTGGCCGTGTCGGCCAACACGGGCAAAAGTGCACCTTGCACGGTCGTGCGAGCCTGCCCGTGCGGCCGAGCCACGGCCTATATATTCGGCCAGCACGGCCGACTAGGTCAGAAAGTTCAAAAACCTCGCCGGAATCCTCTGAATCTGGCCGGAAAACCGCGACAAACCACCCTCTTTTGATTTTTCCGGCCATTTTGTGTCATTTTTTCACCAAACCAACAATAAACTCATCCTTCCCACACCAAACGCGGCCTATCCCTCCATTTTGAGGAGATTTGGACGACGTTTTTGTCGCCGGAGGCGATTTCCGGCGAGGCTCCGACGAGCACTTCCGGGCACTTTTTCGGCTTTTCTTCGTTTCCATTGCCTTCCCCTCATCATCCCCTACACCTCTACTTGAGTCTCCAGGTTTGATTTTGCCCTTAACTATGTTAATTTTGGAGAATTGGGTGTTAGGATGTATGTTTAGAGAACCTCATTGAATCTTGTGATTTTTGTGCAATTGATTGAGGGGAATGCATGGAGTGTGTTTGAATTGTGTTGGGCAATGTCCCCCTTGATTTTTTGAGCCCTTGTGTGCAAGAATTTTGCCAATTTCATGCTTAACTTAATAGTGCACACAAGGTGTTCGATGAAATGCCTGTTTTTCATGCCATGTTGTGGCCACCAGTTGGGGCCCTTAATGATATTCTTTGAGGAGGATAGAATCTGATTAGGTTGTTAGAGCCTCTTCATTCGATAGTAGGAGATTGGCTATACGAGAGTTAGCCAGTTTACTGCTTTGTACTGGAATTCAATTCCAGTAGTGGAGTTCTGCGCTTATTGCTTCAGCTTTCTATCCCGGTGAAGACTAGTCGTCTGCCGGGTAGTTGGACTGAGAGGGCTTGGTCAGCTTAAGAGATTCCAAGCTACTGTCGGATCTTCCGCAGTCTAATCAACAGTGAATCAACCCAGGGGAATTACAATTGAACCTAACTAAGGGGCTAGGGGGACTCATTCCCGAGTGACTCTTTCCTGCTTGAGAAAACCGAACCATTTCCTGCTTTCTTACTGCTTTTGCTTTAAACAACAATCACTCGAATTAGTTTGCTAGATAATAAATCATCACGGAGTAAGCAGTAGATCTAGACCCTGGGTTGATAATAGAACTTGCCTGTTACTGCAGTCCCGGACTGCGATTACACTTGGTCGCAGTTTGGTGTTGTGTTTTGGCGTGTCACCCACATAAGGTAAAGATTTTTGCCTGGAAAAGGATAAGGAACACTCTATCAATGGAAGCAACATTATAATTGTGTTAAAAGAGTAATGCGATGAATGCTGGTTCTGCGTGCTTCAAGAAACCCAGATCGACATTTTCAGGAATGCAAGTGGAGACGTAGAGTTTGGAGACTTCGTCTTATTTGCTCATTATTCAAAGGTGAGGGGCTTACATGTTGGGAAATGATGGCAAGTCTTCAAAAATCTACACCAGACGAGCAGATTGGTATCTTTCTAGTTTCCCTTTGGTTCACCTAGGACAAGAGAAAGAATCATTTGAGAATGAAAGGAAAATGGAAGAGTATCAGATTATGGGGAGCGCTACAAGATGGCTGGCATAATACCTAGATTGTCGAAACAAAATTGATGACGCTCCGCTGAAGAAGATCTACCGATGGGAACTACCGACAAAGGAGGCTTACAAGATCAATGTGGAAGCGACGATTTTTTTATGGAGCATGAATTGGTTTTGGAGTGGTTGTCATTAACAAGAATTGTGATTCTACATGGTAGGGGTGAGGAGAACTGAAATTTAGTGATCGTTGTACCTCGCAGAGCGTTGCGCTATTCTTTTTGGCATATAAATCACATTAGTTTCATTTCCTCTCGGGGGTCATGGAGTCTAACTGCCAAGTGGCAATTCTTTGTTTGGAGAAAGATGAAACAACACACTTAGAGTTAGGTGACATATGTAAGGAGATTTTGGCTCTTAGCATTGTGCTTGACCCAACTCATTATCACTTTTCGGATAATTATATTAATCATATGCAACTCATATTATCGCCCATACCGCTTATGCTAAAACTAGGATGAGTTGTGGAATGACATGCCTCTAATTTTGTTGCTTTCTCAATTAGATTGTTGTGGACAATCCAAGTACAACATCGGTAATACAAGGGAAGGAACTCTTGTATATTAGTGTCCACCAAGCCCAATTAGTACGAGGCCTTTTCGGGAGGACACCCAAGGGTAAAACCGTGCGGGCTTGGCCCATAGCGGACAATATCGTACTAATTGACCAGCCCGATTTCAATTAGTGGTATCAGAGCCTGGTTCGGCGGATCCGAGGTGGTGGACGTCAGTTTGGTGGGACCCTCGTTAGGTGACCTCGAGATTTGAGATCTGTGTCTGTTTGGTGGATCCACGAGAGATCCATGTTCGGGCTACATCTGGTTTGGGGGATCAAGGGAGATCCGCGTTTGATTTGGCAGATCAAAGAGAGTTCTGCGTCTTGAAAAATCCTTGTACTGAGAAGCCCATCGATACAAGGTGTCTGACGGATCAAGATAATTGTTGAGGTGAGGACACAAAGTTCATGGTTCTTGTCTTTAGGGGAGTATACTTGTAGAACAATCCAAGTACCACATCGGTAATACAAGGGAAGGAACTCTTGTATATTAGCGTCCACCAAGCCCAATTAGTATGAGGCCTTTTGGGGAGGAGACACAAAAGTAAAACCGAACGGGCTTGGCCCAAAGCAGACAATATCGTACTAATTGAGCGGCCTGATTTCAACAAGTGGTATCAGAGCCTGTTTCGGCGGATCCGGGGCAGTGGACGTCAGTTTGGTGGGACCCTTGAGATTTGAGATCTGCGTCTGTTTGGTGGATCCACGAGAGATCCACGTTTGAGCTACATCTGGTTTGGCGGATCAAGGGAGATCTGTCTCGGAAAATCCTTGTACCGAGAAGCCCATCGATACTAGGTATTTGGCGGGCGGATTAAGATAATCGCTGAGGTGAGGGGCACGAAGTTCGTGGTCCTTCGTTTTAGGGGAAGATTGTTTTGTTTGGCGGATCAAAGAGAGTTCCGCGTCTGGAAAAATCCTTGTAGTGAGAAGCCCATTGATACAAGGTGTCTGGCAAATCAAGATAATCGTTGAGGGGATGACACGAAGTTCGTGGTCCTTGGCTTGAGGGGATGATTGTTATGTGACAATCCAAGTACCACATTGGAAATATAAGGGCATGAACCCTTGTATATTAGTGTCCACCAAGCCAAGTAGCACGATGCCTTTTGGGGAGTACACCCAAGAGTAAAACCGTGCGAGCTTGACTCAAAGCGAGCAATATCGTACTAATGAAGCGTTCCGATTTCGACTTCGGACGGTATTGTTTCACAAACTTAATGGAATAATAGAACCATTTATCAAAGAAAAAACATTGATAATTGATTATAGGTTAATAACAAACGAAAATAGAGATGGAAAAGAAAAAAGAGGATATACTAACTAATAACGTGGCAGAATCTAGACCATCAATTGTCAGTCTGAAAACCTCCGTCCTTTATCATCTTACATTGGACTGTAATTCTACTTTCTAGAACTCTCTTCTCTTACCCTTAAACCCTTGAAGGTTGAAACGAGCGTAATAGGGTTTCTTGAGAAAGTCTTCGTTCGTTATTAAATAACATTCCCCAAAATCCCAATCCAATCCTCGTGCGAGTGCCGGCTAATACTCTCATCTGTCATCTCCCATTTCACTCTCCTCACCAGCTCGCTTCCATCTCTTCAGTCCTCCGATGGCGCCGGTTCTGAATAGAACCCTATCCCCTGCTCCTCTGCTCTCGATTCCTTCTTCGACATCCATTTCGTTGAACAACCCCTTCAATTTGAGAAGCTCGTTCCTGCCTCGAGCCAACGGTCTCAGGAAGGGGGTGTCTTGTTCCGGCTTGAAATGGAAGCTTGGTAATAGGAGCAATCGGATTTCCGTTAGGTGCGACGCGGCGGTGGCCGAGAAAGATGCTTCCGAGGCTTCCGGGGAGAAATTTGAGTACCAAGCCGAGGTGGGTTTTCATTTGTTTGTTTATACCGTTGAGAAAGCTTTAAGCTTGATCGTGTTGAATTGTTGTTGGGGTTAGCATCAGTGGGACTTAGCTGGATAGAATTCTGATTGGTAGATTGACCATGTTCATCGGGAATGGTATTTAAGGCGAAGGTCTTTTCTAGATTCTGATACTTCTTTGACTTTTATATAAATTTTGAACTCATTAGTCTTTGGTGAAGGATTGTAAAGTTGTGAAAATTTTTATTGGTTGTAGGTGAGTCGACTGTTAGATTTGATTGTTCATAGTCTCTACAGCCACAAGGAAGTGTTCCTCAGGGAGCTTGTCAGGTGAGGATTTCTTACTCCAATGGAAATCCAACATTTCCTCCATTCTCTGATTAAGTTTTCCATTATACTACTACGCCATCACTGGCTCCTGGACGACATCTCATTTGAATCTATATATTGACATGTTGGTTAAACATTATCTTCTTCTGTGTTGCAGCAATGCTAGTGATGCTTTGGATAAGTTGAGATTCCTCAGTGTTACAGATCCCTCGTTGCTTGGAGATGCTGGTGATTTGGAGATTCGGATCAAATCTGATGCAGATAATGGGACCATCACAATAACGTATGTTGATATCTCTGCTTACTTCACTTACTTACATTGGATGATATGCTGGGAAACTCCTGAATTTACTGCTCTGTTTTTGTAGAGATACTGGCATTGGTATGACAAGAGAAGAACTCATTGACTGTCTTGGGACCATTGCTCAGAGTGGGACTTCAAAATTTTTGAAGGCTCTCAAGGTAGTATGCAGAGAACTTAATGTCTTTCTTAATGATGTGTTAACCATTCTATTCAATGCTGACCTTTTCCCCCCTCTTATGGCAAGCAGGAAAACCAAGATCTTGGAGCTGACAATGCACTGATTGGTCAATTTGGTGTTGGGTTCTACTCTGCGTTTCTTGTTGCTCAGAAGGTACGCTATAAGTATTATTAATATTTTCATCTGTTGACTTTGGTCCTTCTTTGCATTTGGGCGGGAGGGGTTGATTGAACTCACTTGTAATTGCTGTCCACAACCAGGTAGTGGTGACGACTAAGAGCCCGAAATCTGACAAGCAATATGTTTGGGAAGCAGAAGCAGACACCAGTTCATATATGATCAAAGAAGAAACGGATCCTGAAAAGTTTCTTGGTCGCGGGACACAAATTACACTGTATCTGAAGGTATGAAAGCCGTTTAACCAAACTGTTTATTGGTATTCTGCTTTGCCACAGTATACTATGATTCCTCAACTTTGATGAGATTTATGTTTCTGAGTTGCGAGATATGAGTTTTTTTGGTATCCGTAGTTTTTTTGGTATCCGGTCTGACTATCGGAGGAAACGTCCTGAAAACATCCAAATTGGTCGTCTTTTCTCTTTCAGGAAGATGACAAATATGAATTCTCGGATCCATCCAGAATTCAGGGATTGGTAAAGAACTACTCTCAGTTTGTTTCCTTCCCTATTTACACCTGGCAAGAAAAGTCAAGGACAATTGAGGTAAATAGTCGATATGTAATTCATGTTTATCAGAGATTAATTAGTTGTTGAGAGTATATCCTATCTGTTTTCGCATACCAGGATGAGTTGAGTGGCTATCATATTGTCATTGTGGCTTGTCATGGCCAAGTTTGTAACCTGTCTCTATATTCTTGAATTACTTGGCAGGTAGAAGAAGAGGAAGAACCAAAAGAGGGAGAGCCCGAGGTAGGGAAGAATTCAAATGCTGTTGTGTTCTTATGAATAGGGTTTCCTGTGATTTAATGCATATTAGTTCACCCTGTATGCCACTTCTTAGGGTGAGAAGAAAATGAAGAAGACTACTAAAACTGAAAAGTACTGGGACTGGGAATTAGCGAACGAAACAAAACCAATATGGGTGAGTATTTCAAGTGTTGCATCTGCTTTCTGTTTATGGCGCTATTACCATAATCTTCATGTTGCCTCCCTCCCTTCTTTCTATTTTTTTTTTTGGTGGCAAACTTGTCCTATTTAGCTTATTAGGATATAAAGGGGATTTAGGTACCTTGCATCTCTCATGTTTCCCCTCTTGTATTTCAGATGCGAAATGCTAAGGAAGTTGAGAAGGAAGAGTACCAGGAATTCTACAAAAAGACATTTAATGAATTTTTGGATCCACTTGCCCACACTCACTTCAATACAGAGGTATGATGAGCACTGTTGACTGTTAGTTAAACATGTCTTTCGGATAGTCTATAACGGTTATATTGAATATTTGCAGGGAGAGGTAGAATTTAGGAGCATTCTTTATATTCCTGGTATGGGACCTATGAACAATGAGGATGTAATTAATCCAAAAACTAAGAACATACGACTTTTCGTGAAGAGGGTGTTCATTTCAGATGATTTTGATGGAGAGCTGGTATGTTTCCTATTGCCACATATCTCATGCACATTATTGTATTCTTGTGATGGTCAAATTTATGTTTGATGGTTCTGTTGATTTTGACATGTCAGCGTTGCCTTGACTCTAATAATTTTAGTAGTCATAGCATGTTATTTTATTGAAGGCTGCTTCTTATCTCTCAGAATAAGCTATCTGTCTTATATTTAATTCCGGCTGAGAAGTGTCCAAGCCTGTCTTACCACCCATTCTGTTATTTGCAGTTTCCCCGATATTTGAGTTTTGTAAAAGGTGTGGTGGACTCGGATGATCTTCCTCTTAACGTATCCCGAGAGATACTTCAAGAGAGCCGGATAGTAAGGATCATGAGAAAGAGACTTGTTAGGAAGACTTTTGACATGATTCAGGAGCTGTCAGAAAGTGAGAACAAAGAGGTTCGTGTCTATTAAAACCCCTAGTGCCCCTTTTCATGTTGTTTTTGTTTTCTGCCCTCTGTTCAAGTTTGTGTTGCTAATGTAGTTCTCTCTTCACTTTAGGATTACAAGAAGTTCTGGGAGAACTTCGGAAGGTTTATAAAACTCGGGTGCATTGAAGACTCTGGAAATCACAAGCGTATAACTCCTCTACTGAGATTCCACACATCCAAAAATGAGGAAGAGCTCACAAGTTTGGATGATTATGTAGAAAATATGGGAGAAAACCAGAAAGCAATCTATTACTTGGCAACTGACAGTTTGAAGAGTGCCAAGTCTGCTCCATTCTTGGAGAAGTTGGTCCAGAAGGACATTGAGGTATCTGGATTCTGCTTGTGGACAAATATGACAGTTTTGGAGAATCAAGGCCATTTATATATAATTTGTGAGGCTACATAACATACCTATAAGGAATTCTAATATAGTGGCTTCAACTGTAATTTATAATAACAGGTACTATATTTGATTGAGCCCATTGATGAAGTTGCGATCCAGAACTTACAGACCTACAAGGAAAAGAAATTTGTTGACATCAGCAAGGAAGATCTAGAACTTGGTAAATTTTTCTTGCTTATTATATGTATATACATCACAAGCATGTTATTTCCGTATCTTGCATGCTGGACGTAGTATCTGTCTTGACTTAAAGAATTGGTTTTTACACCAGGTGATGAGGATGAGGTCAAGGAGAGGGAAGCTAAACAAGAATATAATGCCCTTTGTGACTGGATAAAGCAACAGCTTGGTGACAAAGTTGCCAAAGTCCAAGTCTCCAACCGACTAAGCTCATCCCCTTGTGTGCTTGTCTCTGGGAAATTCGGATGGTCTGCCAACATGGAAAGGTAAGTGTGTCCCTTTTGGTTCTCATTGAAGCATTAACTTATGACCTCATCCATGCGAATATCATGCATAATTGCTATTACTATTGAAGGTTGATGAAAGCACAAGCACTTGGAGATACTTCAAGTCTGGAGTTTATGAGGGGAAGGAGAATACTGGAAATCAATCCAGACCACCCGATTGTCAAGGACTTGAATGTAAGACCATCCTAATGATCATGTAGCTCTTTTATGTAACATAAGTGACTTAATTCCGCTAGTACTGTGCTTCTGCAGGCTGCTTGCAGGAAAGCACCAGATAACAACGATGCGAAGAGAGCAGTTGATCTGCTCTATGAGACTGCATTGATCTCCAGTGGTTTCACTGTAAGGATGGACGAGATGAAACTTCATTTTCCATTCTATCTTTACTTTTCATAAAGTATATCCATATACACCTTGCTGCCGACTGCTATTTACCCATTCATTAATGGTTGCAGCCTGACAGCCCAGCAGACTTGGGAAACAAGATATACGAGATGATGGCGGTGGCACTGGGAGGGAGATGGGGCAGAGTAGAATTCGAAGCTGAAACTACTGGGGATGGAACCGAGGCAAGCACCAGTGAAGGCTCTTCAGAAGTAGTTGAACCTTCAGAAGTGAGGGCAGAAACTGACCCATGGCAGGAGTAACTGATAGTCATATAGATTTTAGTGAACTTTTAGCCACAATTTTGATGACCTCTATGGAAGCAAAATTCTGAATTTAGGCAAGGGCAGAGTAGGTACAAGAATTAATAAGTCAGCTGTTGTGCCAAGGGACTAAGGGTACCATAGTTTTGGTGCAGTAAGGAAGGGCTTTTGGACTTGTTAGAAGGAGCGAAAACCTGATGATTCCTGGACAAGCTTTGCCCCTAGGTTTCTATCTTTTATAGCTTGGTGGTATTTTATATGAAACAGCACATTGTGAGTTTTATCAATCTCTTATCTCTTTGGACTTGTTCGGTATGTTTTTAGAATGGAATGTTGAATCGGAAAAATTATTGATTGATGGTTCAATGATTAATTGTTATAGAATTAATAGTTAAATTAATTGATTGATGGTTCAATGATTAATTGTTATAGAATTAATGGTTAAACTTTTTTTTTTTTGTGAATCAAATCCTTTCGTATTGATGAAATGAAAAAAGCCAATACAACGAGTAGAGCCAAACGCTCAAAGTGGTCCCTCACAAAACATGGTTAAACTTTTATAAAATTGTTCATGCGCTATCATATAAAAAAATAAAAGAATAATTAGTTGATTTGTCACTATTTTGCAAATTGTTTCACAAATGATATATTGAAAGTTGTGTAAATAAATAATGATGTCCCTAAAGATTGGAAGTGGGATTTCAAAATAGCTGGCTACACTACACTATTTTGAAAACTCACAAGGCGGGTTATGCCAAACCCGAACCCATGGGTTAATCCGTCAAAAAAATTTCGGATAAAACTCGCTGGGTTTGAAAAACTTAAATCCAACCCAACCCGTTAGGTATCCGCGGGTTCTTGGGTATCCGTGGATCTTTGTGACACTAATCTAGAGCATACAAGCAAGCCGCAAATTACCAATACAAATTGTTCAAAATTAAAGATAAACATCTATAAACAACATGATTAATTGAAAGTTCCTTCCTCGTCAACTTGACTTTTTCACTCTCCACTCCATAATATCAACTTCATTGTACACAATTAGAAAGAACAAATTAGACATGTCTCCACAAACATAAAGAAGATTAGTTGTTTAAGGGAGATATATTTAGGGATGGCAACAAAACCCGAACCCATGGGTACCCACCCGACCCAACCCGGTCAACGCGGGTAAAATCCGTGTTGACGGGTTTTGGGCCGGGTTTGGGTTTAAACCCGTTCACTATTCACCGGGTTGGGTTGGGTTTGGGTTTAGGTAAACCCGGCCCGTGGGTACCCGCCCATCCATATAATTAATTTTTTCGGTATATTTAATATTCTAAACAACTAATCTTATTTATATTTGTGGAGACATGTCTAATTTTTTCTTTTTAATTGTGTAGAATGAAGTTGATGTTATGGAGAGGAGAGTAAAGAAACTTAATTGAAAGAAAGAAGCTTTCAATTAAACATGTTATTTATGGATAATTTGTTTGTGATTTGCTTCAATTTTCTTGAGTTTTCTAGATTGGTGTTGAACAATTTGTATAGTTAATTTGTGATTTGCTTGAATTTTCTAGAATGGTGTTTTATATATGGATAATTTGTATTGAGAGATTCATATTTGACTTTAATTTTGATAAGAACTTGTAATTGTAAATTTTTTACGACAAAACCCGTGGGTACCCATGAACCCGGGGATACCCAACAGGTTGGGTTGGGTTTGAGTTTTTCAAACCCAGTGGGTTTTACCCCGGGTTTTTTTCAAAGATAAACCCATGGGTTTGGGTTTGGGTTTGGCAAAACCCGACCCAACCCGACCCATTGCCATCCCTAGATATATTGCTTAGAATATTAAATAACCCGGAAGAATTAATTATATGGGTGTGAGCGGGTACTCATGGGGCGGGTTTACCTAAAGCCAAATCCAACCCGGTGAATAGTGTAGCGGGTTTAAACCTAAACCCGGCCCAAAACCCGTCAACACGGGTTTTACACGCGTTGACCGGGTGGGGTCAGGTGGATACTCGTGGGTTCGGGTTTTGTTGCCATCCTTAGTTTTAAACTCCGTCATGCCAACAATTCCAATTCCAAATCTTTACAAACGTACCAAAATCCCTTATTTATTGACGATTGTGACAAAAATCCTATATTCAAACGATCTCTTGGGGTTTCACAAAACTCAGGTTTTATCAAAACGCTTATTTTTCAAATCCATAATGCAATGGACATTAAAATTGTACTTACTCTTAAAAATGCAATGAATGTATGATCCAAATCATTTTCTCCTACTAGCCCTTACATCTTAAGTGCAAAATCCCATCTGGGTGGAGCTGCGGAAAACATGCGTCACATACCCGCATGATCGACCCGCGACAAGGTTCCTGTGTTGGGGATGACATGACGTTGTTTTTTCCTATAGTTTGTGAAATGAGTTTTTTTTTTTTTGTTTTTTCTCATCAACGACCCTATTCTTGGAATTCCAAGTTGAGCATTTGAAAATTGATGTTAATCTACCAAAAAAAAAAAAAAAAAGAAAATTGATGTTAATGAGTGTGTTTGAATTTTCATCCCAGTACAAACTTAAATGTATTACCTATATGGTAGATGAGATATGATATAATTTATAAATATGTATCAACAATACAATCATATTATCATATATTTGGACTAAAGGATCGGGCCATTAATTCTCGACCTGCCTACTCAACCAAACCAACGAGTTAAACGGGGTCGACAACCTTGATCTAGGTCAAGAAGCGGGTCGGTTTTCCCGTTAGAACCCAGTGGTTGTCAAACCGATTTATACCGTTGTGCCGGTTTAGCAAGTGGAATGGTATGACCAGTGCTAGTGGTAATATTTTTAAATTGTTAGGCCTTTAGGACGCAAGCAACAAGCTATTGTTGAGCCTTAGAATATGAAGTTTAGCTTCAAGTACCGAAGCTTAGATCCAAAGGGAATAGAGCGACTTCACATCCGTTGGACTGGGATGATATTGTGTAGCACTATTGCACATTCAAACAATTTATAAGTTAGCTTCAGTTTATACAAAAATTTCAGAATGATCGAAAAGTTTACACGTAATTTCCATAATTCTCGGAGGGGGGGGGGGGGAGGGCGGAGAAACTACATGTGTGTAGCATTCAAGGTTCCAAAACACAATCAGTAAGCCATTCAACACCAAAAAACACATTCAATCGGTAGCATTCACTCCTATAAGCAATCATCAACGTCTTACATTCATAATCAAGGGAGGCTACTAATGATTCATGGCATATTCATCATGAACTTTTAAGGCATGCAATGCATTCCCCTCACTAGATCAATTGAACAACAAAATCAATCCTTAGGTTCACTCTATACACCCCCACACTTAAGTGTTACAATGTAGAACTAGAGGTGCATAGGATTACATGCATTTTATAATGAATCGGGTCGAGGTCTAGATGCATGAACATAAGGGTGCCAAGTCTTTCAAGAGGTTTCTAAACCCCGACCGAAGGTTTGAATAAATTCATTAGACAACAACCGAAGCTTGAACTCTTGGCTCTAAAAGCATAACGAAGCACAAAATCAAACGTGAGCCAAAATTTCAAACGCAAGGGGCATGCATCAAAGATTCAATTCTAAGTCATAAACACACTCCTAAGGGTCTATCTTAATCAAACAAGTTCAATTAATGCGCAATGGATCAAGAAAAATAAGTTTTATGTGGTTTGGGCATTTCATCGAGCACTTGGTGGGCAGCATTCAAACTCCACAAATTCATTAAAATAAAGCCCATCAAGGCCTCCAAAAACACATACACAATTATAAGAGCATACATTCTATGATCCTATTGTGCTAGCCATGCCATTATTACCTCAAGTAGCTTAAGCGGTAGGCTAGCACACTTACTTACAACATTTGCAACCATTCCTAAAGTAACTATCTAGTCTCCAAATAATCTTTCATTATATTCTTGACATAGAAGGGATTCATTCACTAGCTAAAACTATTAAAACTACTTAAAGCAAAATCAAACATGCAAGTTTTATTTTTGAAAAGTAAGGAAATGCAAACCGGTTGTTGGGGTACCTACCAAATAGTGCGTCTTTCAAGTCTTATCGTCGGACGATTATCTTCAAGTATTTGGTCCAACTTAGAACCTCCTTGAAGTTGAGGTTCTCTTCGGTGAGGTGGTGTCTCAAGTCATGAGCTTTGAAAGAGTCCATGTTTGAGGGCTCGTGAACTTGAGTGGTCTTGAGGCTCCACCCACGAGACCTCTCCTTCTTTCTTTGCCCCACACCATGTAGTGCAACAATGTTTGACTTCCATCACATCCACCAAGAGGGATCACCGACAATTTGGTCTTGGCTAGGGAAAAGAGTCACAAATGGATCCTTCTCCAAAACTGCATCGAGGTCGGGTGGAAAGCTTTCATAGTACTTGTAACTTGTAGATTTTTCATTCACCTCAGCCTCGTCCTCATCTTGGACACTATTTGCACTTTCAAATTCATCTTCAACCTCCCTTCCTTCTTCAAAAACGTGTTTCTCCAATGATAGAAGATGATTGTGAGCAAGTCTTGCATATGCTTGCTCGACAATCTCTCATAGTCTCTCCGTTTTTTGGAGGATCTCTTCCGATGTTTATAGTAAGGATGAGACGATAGGGGTGGTGGTCGAGGATTCCACATCAGAGCGTGATTCGGTGAACCGCTCCATCATGAGCTCCAGTTGTCTCTTTGGTTCTTGTGGAGTGTAGCAAGGTTGTTCTACACTAGAGGACGCTCCCTCGGAACCCCGGGCAAATCGCTCCACCAAGAGTTCCAATTCGCTTCTTGTCTCCAGTTGGGGAAGGAAGTCTCATGGGAATGGGGAAGCCTCTTCATATCCCCATTGGTATGCTTCTTCTTCTTGGAAGGGGGTTGATCATAGAAACCGGTTCCTTGGCTGCCACTCTCTTGATTACTCCCTGAAGCTCCGGGGTACCCCCATTCGGGTGATTGTGGATACCCCCACATGTTGTATAAGCCATTGGGATCCATGATTCAACCTACACTAACAAAAACAATAAAAAGAAAACCAAACACACTCAAAACACCCTTCGAGGAGAAGAGTTGGTGAAAAACAAAACACAAAAAGAAAATGTACTATGTAATGCTACTACTAATATAAACACGAAAATAAAGACTAAACTAACAACTTAACACTTTCAACTAGTTATGTAACTCCTCGGCATTGACGCCAAAACCTTGATGGGTGCGAGCTTTAAATTTAATAGTTGAAGCGCACTCACTTGCCAACCCTAACAAGGCCAAGTACAACCTAGTTAGGGATGTAGTAAAATGGCTCGGTCATATTCCAAGGGTCACGGTATCCTAGGCTACTTAGGCTCAATCGTTATCTAGTCAACCTATTGTTTAGCAAGTGGGCAGTTGACGATTCCTAAACTAAAGATCGATAGATGAGAAGAGGTACTCGGGGAACTATCCCTCACCCTAGCCTAGGTCTACTATGCAATGTTTAGATAAGTAGGGTTTGTCGAATGTGGTGAGTGAGCTCTTTCCTTAGGCTATCATTTTTTACCAAATGCCTCCCCTAAACCCATGTCAGTCACCTCGATCTATGCTATCGTAGCTGGGGCATTAAGAACGTAGCTCCTTTCAATGGGTACTACCCACCGTCCACACCGACATTTCATCCCGGGGTCTATCTTGGAAGGCATTACTATGACAGGGGTTTGGTCGCCTCGTCCGTCATAGGATTCTATTCATACATCTAACCTCAATTTGATCGATGCGCATACCCCTCTAACCCTAAAACTTCATACCCAGCGTAGAAGCTCAAGTAGGCTAGTAAAGAAGATTAGGGCGACTTACCCAAACACAATCAAAGCTAGAAAAGTATTCAAATCAACTAGATAATCACATGCATTCATTAAAACCCTATCATATCCATACATTACATAATAACCCTAAAACTAGGGTTTGGGGTTTAGAACCCCTAGTACCTTGGGAGATCACCCCATGAACGGGGAAGAAAAGTCATAAAAAGAGTGGAAGAAATCATGAAGAAAGTGGTCTTCAAGTGATAGAAGTCCTCCTCCACTTGTTCTCCTCCTCTTCTTCTCCCTCCTTCAGCTTCTTTCTCTATTCTCTCTCTAAAATTAGAAATCTACCAAAAGCCATCTTCTAAAGGTGGAAGAGTACACTATCTATAGAGTTTTATAGACACGGGAAAGTTCATGGGCAAGGGGATGAAGATCGCATCCATGAACTTGAGGTTGCGATCTTCAGGTCAAGTTCGCGGGTGATAGGCAGAAGATTGTGATCGGGATCTTTGGCTAGAGGCTGTGATCTTTGAGGGTCACCATTTTGGCATTGCTAAATGTGGAGTTTGCGGTCTAACATCCCAGTCGCGATCCGGGGTGTCACGGTCGTGATCTTTATCACGGGCCCGAAAGCCGTGGACCATGTTTCGACTGGGGAAACTTTTTGCTTCTCCCGAGTTGGCCTCTTCTGAAGTTCACACCCTTGGCTCCAAATTTTGTGGACGTGAACTCGAGGCTTCGATCTTCAGGTCAAGTTCACGGGCTAGAGGCAAACGATTGCAGTCGGGATCTTTGCACTGCAGGCTGCGATCTTGTGCTCTGGTTCATGCCATTTTTTCGTGGCTGGGATCTTGGATCCGAAGGCTGGGTTTTTGTGCCCCTTTTCTACGTGTGCACCTTTTTCGTATATAATTGACGTGTATCGTCTAAAGCAACCTAAAATCACGTCATGAACAAATATGAATATAATAAAGATGCAATCGATTCTATTCTAATAAGCTTGGGGGGGGGGGGTGGACATGTTTGACTAATTTATGTTTTGTTCAAGTAGGCAAGGCATATGATCATCCCTTACATGTCGATGTTGGTTCCCTCTATGGACTGCTGCGGGAATTTCTTCCAAGTTTTTATGTCATTTTTCTTTGATCTTTTGCATGGTTACTTGAATAGTAATTGTCTCTTGCATTATGTTTAAAATTTTAAGCATTGTACACATGAGAGTTCATTGAAAATTGATTAGATTCTTGTGTTTACTATTATCTTCTTTCTTTGTTTTTTGATCGCTCATAATTTGCGGTCATTAGCTAGATGTAAATTTTCCTTTTCCTTTTCCATCATCCTATCTTTCACTTTTACTTTTGGTTCTGAAATACCTCCACAATGTGTTTGGCTCTAAAGGTTTGAACCTAAAGTATTTTCATCCTTCCTATACTACTAAGATAACACTTTTTGGTATTCTATTCTTCTAATAGTTATGACAAAGGTGCCTACTTTTTCATACATTCTTATGTTATGAGGGTGCATGGTTCGAAACAACAGCGACAAGTGCTTAAGAGGACTTCAAGGGAAAAATTAGATCATGTTTATGAGGTTTGAACACAATTCATGTTCTTCAGTGAAATAATGATTGTATAATAATGCTTTCTGTCATGCTTCTCTCATATAATGAGCGACCCGCTTTCTGATGAAATTACTCCATTATCATATTGAATCAGGCCCTTAATACTTTGCGAAACACCAAATGGAGGATAAACAAGAAGGTGTTAGCTGTAGTGGACAGAATATAGGCAAGTGGGGGCCGTATTGCAGGCTTGGTTGATCGTGAAGATGTGAGTTTCAGTTTTTCTGCCAATTATTCTACTTTATTATTCAGCCAGTTATTTCACTTCAACATGCAATGCAATATCTTTTTCACAAGAACAATTGATGCCTTTGAAAAATGTTATCGATGGGATATTTGTCCTATTCTGTTATTTCACTCTTTTCATTGTGTCGGTTCTCCTCCTTGTGTTATATCTGATTTCTTAGTTATTCATTGGCGTATCTATTAATATTCAACAGATTCCTCTTCCCGGGAAGCTAGAAACAGAAGACGAGCAAGAAACGCAAAGATAAAAGTGGAAAGTAAAAAATATGAAAAAGAGAATAGTGAGAGGCATTCACAACGATGTGATATAGAGCTTAAACTTGTTGTAAGATGCTTCTTTTATTTAAATTAGCATGTCATGTAGCATGTGCATGTTGTGGTATGTCAGACATCATCTAATGAGTGTTCTGTATTCAAACTTTTGAGCAGGTGGTTAGAAAAATGAAGGACGAGTAACTACTACCCACATAACCTTGTATTCAGAGGACGTGCATATCCCATGCACCCACTTTTGAACCATCTTGGCTCTGATCTCTGTCGGGATATCTTGGAGTTCGCTGATGGGCGGCCTCTTGGGAAGTCTGGACTATAGTGGCTGAAGATACATTTGGCAAATTTGTATGCTGGTGGGGTTGATAAGTTATCTTATGACTGAAGGATTGCATTTACTGAGAAACATATGGAAGATATTGTTGACTCTGTTGAGCAACCTCTTGAAGGAAGGAGGTGGTGGTTAAATGCAGAGGATCCATTTTAGTGCTTAGCAGCATGTGTTAATCTCGCAGAAGCATTGAGCAGAGCCTCTCTATAGATGACCTTATCACACATGTCTGTCCATCAGGTACTAATTAATTCCCTTCCTACTCATAGCTTTCAGTCCCTCGAATTTGTGGAAGCTTAACAGTGGAGTTTCTTTTTTGTATCGATGGTGCCTCACATATGATTATATTCCATCTATTAGTGATGAAGCTATGTCTGTTCAGCTCTAATTTCTCAGGTTTTCTTGTTCAAGGATGGCTCTTGTAACGGTTTACAACATTATGCTGCTCTTGGAAGGGACAAGGTAACCACTGGTCCTTCTGCTTTGAATTGAGAAATATGCATAAGCAAACTTTACATGTTGTTATAAACGCGCTGCTACGGATCGGGAAATTGCCGGAATCGATAAAGCAAGAATACGAGAGCAAGAATCGAAAGAACACAGACACACGATTTACGTGGTTCACTAACACGATGTGTGTTAGCTAGTCCACGGGCGAGAGAGAGCCAGTTTCACTATATCGAGGAGATTACAGATTACAGAGGAGTATGAGAAGTATTTATAGTACTTCTCCATGTGGGTCTAAACCTAATCCAATCTAGCAAAAGAAACGGTTACAGACCAGGCCCAGACCCCCGATTACCAGTCGTAGCGGCTGATAATCCGATTCAAGTCATATCAACACATGTAATATCCCTTTTCATTTTTTCTCTCCACTTTTGGTTTCTGACTTCTCTCATTTTTGGTCCATCAGTTAGAAGCTGCTGCAATAAATCTGGTTGCAGGTAACAAACCCGCGGATGTTTACTGAGGAATCACTACTAGGCAGGTTACACTCTTATTGTGTTGTTCTTTCTCATCATATTCATTATGAAGGTAGATAGTAAATAACTCTTTCATCTAGCAGTCTGGCAAGCCGTTTTTGTGATTGCCTTTTAGCTCACTGCAAATACTACGAGTTGCACTTGATTAACATAACTTTTGAAGTAGTTGGTCTAAAACTAAGACCAAAGTTATCCTCGTCCAAGTCATGTTTTGACAACCTTGTGGTCACATTTCTACTTTGCAAGGATCCTTCTTGGTTTCTTCTGTAGTATCATCCTCTCGACCGTTTGTTGATAGTCTATCATTATCTAGTGTGTGACTAAGTGTTTACTTTTGTTAGACTGTCTTATCCTATTGTTTTTTTAATGTAGAGTTCTTGAAATTATGGAAATAGATGCAAAGAAAGATCCAACAACTAATTTGAATGCATTGCATGCCAAATTTTTGATTGATCAGGTTAGTTTCCTTCATTATTGTTCGCTTTGAAAATTTATTCTGCTGAATTAGGTTTGTGAGCATGGGACTCAATAGTGTCACTCTAGACCAATCTGTCTTTGTTTCCCGAACTTAAGTCTTTACAATTCAAATGGCAGGTTGTCCGAAAATTGGTTAAACAAACAGTGATGACATCAATGTATGATGTCACCTACATTGGTGCTCGTGACCAGAAACCTATTTCCTTGTCAAACTAGTTGAATCACATGGAGTAAAGTGTCAGAAATGAAGTGTGTACTTCTTCGTTTACTTTTCACGAGGTCATTTCTATAGTTTGACAAGGAAATAGGTTTCTTCACACCTTTCGCGACATTGAACTTGAGTTTTGCTGAACATTTTCTGTTTAACATTTGGAATAACAAGCAGTTGCTTATTTATACTCATAAACTTGCCACAGATAATTGCCTCAGAGAATGAGCATGTGTAATGGATTACTCCTCTAGGACTCCATGTTGTGCAGCCATATCGACAACCGGGTAGACATTTAGTACGGATTGACGGTTTAAAGTATTAAGTTTATTTATGGTAAAATCAAATTAACACCTAAAAGATTCTATGACAGCTACTAACTTTGTGTTTTTCCAATTCAAACTTTATTGTCTTATCCCTGAAAAATCTCGTGGTTCTTCTAAATAATGGTTAAGCGGCAAAGAACTGCTTTCCCTCCAAATTTTGTTCATTCCCTAGATGGTTCTCACATTATGATGACGATTGTTGCCTGTAGAAAGGTTGGTTTAAAATTTGCAGGTTGCACTATGCCTATTGTCTTTCTGGATGGTACTTTGATAATAAGTGTATGTATTGAAATACCAATTCATTTTGATTACAGGTGTCCACGATTCTTATTGGACGCATGCAAGTGATGTCGATGAATTGAACATAATACTTAGAGAAAAGTTTGTTGAACTTTATGAGGCAACTATACTCGAGAATGTAAAGTCCTCTAATACCTCCTTGTCACATTATATTCTTCCCCTGAAAGATTCGGTAACATTTTTAATGAACAGATGCAGTTTATATGATTGCTAACTAGCCTCTGCATAATATTGGAAAATTGACTTAGCTTGGGAATTGCTATGCTAAAGTAATGTTTAAACTTGTAATAGTTGTCTTTGATATCCGGATGGGGTTTGGGGCGAAGTGAAAGTTTATTAGCATTATCCTAGCAGTTCATTTTATACTTGCATCTTCAAATTAGTAAGTTTTTTACATTTGGCTTTAATTAGCGGGTGGAATATTTTTTGGATAGGGGTGATATATGTTTTTTTTTTGTATTTAGGTACTACTTAAGAGATTCGAATTTGGGACCTCCAGGTTCTAGGCTAGTGGTATTACCACTAGGTTAAACCCTTGTTCGTTAGCTGGTGGACTTATCAATAACACTTGTCTTATTTTGTTTTATTTTTGTGGCTGCAGTTGTTGGAAGGGTTTCAAAAGTCCTTCACTAAATTAAAGTTTCCTCCTCTGTCAGATAGAGGAGATTTTGATATGAAAGATGTCCTGATATCTCCCTATTTCATCAACTAGTTTGGCCGCAAAGAATTATGGTTGAACTGAGTGACGCCAAAAGTGTGCTCTGCCTAGGGACTATCAGTTTTGTCCATAGCTGGCTTTGTCGTACTTCTAGGAAAGGCAAGCATCGGGGGACTCCTTCTTCAAAAAGAGGTTGGTTGACATGATAAGTCACTTCAGGTTGAATTGGTGAGAAATTTGGAAATATTGCAACAAAGGAAATGTGTATAGTTTGTTGGGGCACATCGGAAATATGATGAGATGGATCGAAAATAGAGGAAATTGTTTCAATCTAATATTTATATATATATCTCACACAATTAGGCAATTGTGGCCTTTACAAAGAGCTATTTGATAATAGGCTCACTCTCTAAAGCTAGCTCTCTGAACTTCTCCATGTCTCAAATGAGGCTACATATTTATACACAATTCCCAGGCTTGTTTCCACCATTATGAAGGTCTAGTTAGAACAATTAATAAGGCCAACTAGTGTGTTGGTTACCCGACATTACACTTGTAGTTTCTAGCATTTTATGCTTTGTTCAATTATAGGGGTAGGTTTGGTGTATGGCTGGATTTTCTCCAAACTAGTTGTGGTTCTATAATTGTATTGATAGTTGGCATATTTTATTGTTTAATTATTATAGGTAGTTGGGTGGATTGGATAGAGATGAGAATTGACGGATTAGGATTTTCATCACCCCCTCTTATCCACAATTCACAGTTTCGAATTTTTATCACCTTTGATGCACGAGAGTAAAATATGATTGATCTGTTCAACTTGAGTGAAGTTTGCTTCTTCATCTTCTTGTTTCTTCTGGAACCAACAATCCCTTTGGGAGTGATTTGGATTCCTGCACCTTTGGCACTTAAACTTGCAAAATTTTGTTGTGTGCCCTGTCTTTTGACAGATAATGCAGTATTGGTTGTCATTGTCGTCGAATTTTCCTCTACGGTCTTGCTCCGGCTTGGTAGTCTTGGCTTCTGCCATGTTGACTGAAAAACTTGCTTCAATGGTTGATCGGTAAATTTTCTCATCCTGGGCTCATGGCTTGGTAGGCTTGGTAGTCTTTGTAAATTTTCTCATCAGAAGAGCTAGTGAAGCTTGCACAACTTTGCGTATCTTGGTAGCTAGGGTCTTCAAGTTCATTCGCAATTGTACGTTAGGGTACAATCCAACTATCAAAATACAAAGCAAGGAACCCTTCTATATTAGTGTCCACCAAACCTAATTAGTACAAGATCTCTTGGGAATGAATCCAAAAGTAAATTCGTGCAGCCTTGACTCAAAACGAACAATATCGTATATCACAGTGGAACACAAGATATATAATCTCACCAATACTTCTAATGCGCGTCCCTCACTAAACACGAATGATTGCTCACAAACTCAAAATGGAGTCACCTCCACTTTACACAAGACTGACCTGCAAAATCTGCAAAAGTGGACAAGAAACGACAATCCAAGCAGTGATGGATTGCTCGTTTTCTCAAGGTACATGCAAAAGTGAAACATACACTCTCCCATTAATTTTAACCATCATAACTCATTCAGTTTAATTTTATTTTTCAAATTTTATTATTAGATTTATCATATATATATTCAAATGAAAATGTTAACTGGGGCATCATTTATTAGTGTATTTCATTATATACAATGGTGGTACATAAAATTTTATTTTAGTGAAAAGATCGAAGTTGTAAATAGTGGTATAGTTTCTCCTATAAATTTTTTTCTCAAAATATATTACATATGAACATGTATTTTTTTGTTAATACTTGTCAAATCACACTGATCACCAGGCTATCGTTCTTCCTGCCATCCGCTCTACTTCAACTCAGCTGTCTTCGTCTTCACCTCATTCTTGTCTCTCTACCCATCTATCCCGTCAACTTTGCATTGCAGTGGATGGCGCCACCATGGGCACTTCTCATGGATCTATTGGTATTTTGGACTTCCAGGCTTCTTCTTCGATCTTCGGTTTTGGGCGGGCATTTCCAGCAATTTCTAACTCATATTTGGTTGAACTATTGGCGATCCGTGAGGTGTTATATCTCCTTCTATAATGGGGGTGGAATAATCGACCAGTCCAGATTATGAGTGACGCCCAATATGTTCTACATCAAATAGTCAATGGAGTGGAGTCTTGTTTAGCTACAACCATGAAAAATCCAACTCAAAATCAAGAAAATAGATTTGATTATATGCGAATGCGTAAGCGTAACAATATATTATATATTTGGTTCTCAAATCTCAACCAAATTCGTAGGTCTGTAATTGAGTCCACATGGCCCCGCGGATGTAACTTGAAATACAGACACAAAAAAGTTGGAGACGTAACGTAACAAATTAAATAAGAGTCAAAACAGAAGGGATTACTCATGTGCATCATGATCATAATTAGCAGCACATGACGAGATTGATATGGACGGCAAAACATGGAAGCTATTATCCTGATACAATGTTTTGTGATTCGGACCACAAGCTGCAAACATAGGCCATGTTTACAGGCATGTCGCATGCCTGCGTTCTCGGCGAAAACCGATAATGCTAGATGCAGCTTCAAATTCACTAGCATAAGTGAAAAGCTAGACACTGTCATTAAAGTTAACAATATAGCTAGTTTGACTCGTATATATGATCATGATCTATTCTGTGGGATTTATAGTTGATAATTAGTTCGTATTATTCTGATTATTGAAATTAATTGTAATTAGGGATGACAATCAGTTTGGTTATAACCAGAACCGTTTAGTCGGTCCTCGGTGAATCGTTAAACACTTTGTGCTTACCGTTAACCACACCGTTTATATTAGTTGGTAACCTTAATCTTATAGTCGGTTCTCGGTTATTTTGTCGATTAACATGATAACTGTTAACCAAGTGATTCGACAAGGTTATACCAAAATAATTCATAATGTCTTTTCAAGCGAATTCTGGACCGTGATGCTTCCCCTCCACGTGTAGTGAGGTTGATGTTCCTATTATGGAGAGTTTGGAAGGCGATGAACTTTATGGTCTTTGAGGGACATTAGATTCTTCCGAGCATCCTTAGACAGTAGCTCCTTTATTAGGTGGATGAATGGTTACAGGTCCCGGTGGGGAGGGGGATGGTGTTGCTATGTCTACTGCGACTCCTGTTGTAGGCCTTCCTACAAATGAGGGGTATTCTTTGTGGGGTGGAGGGGGGAATGATTTGTTTCTTTGATGGGGTAGTCTGCGAGAGGTCCCATGCGACACGTGGTATGGTGTTTAGAGACGCGTCTGGTGTGGTATTGGGGGTCCATGGGGTGATGTATAGAGGCCTTCAGAATCCGATGCTTGTGGAGCTATTGACATTACAGGATACTATCCGGTGGTGCCACCTTCGATCATTAAAGCCAAGGAATAGACCTGGGATTTCCTGAGTGCTACAGGTGGTCTTTCTCCTACTGAACACATTCTGATTTCCGGACTTTCCCTTCCTTTTAGATTCACTAAACAGGAAGGCGGATGTGTTGTAATCTCTGGGTTTATCATGATCGAGGGTGATGTGAAGATCATCATAGATAAGGTCAACACTGGTGGTATTCATGAAGCTGCTGGGGGTGCCTTATTTGAAAAACTTTGACATCTCCTTTCAGCTATACCTGTGTTCCAAATTAGGTTTGTGAATAGGCAAAACAATAAGGTAGCCCATATGGT